TAAAGATGTCTACTTTTGCTAGATTAATAAATAAATGGGTCCAATATAGTGTCAAAACCTGTTTAAATATATTTGTTTGGTCGGTCCAAAGAAGACGATTGGTTGATTCGCTCTCACCTCTGTTCGGTTCAATGCCACTTTGAATTGTCTTTTTCTTTTTATAATTAGGATAATTAATTTAATATTCCATTGACCAATTAACTTTCGCCTATTTGGATGATAACTTGAGTGGTTCATTTTTCATTAGTATACTGATTATAAGTTGATTGGTATAGATAAATTAATTAATCGCTATACGATATTTTTAAGGATTATTAATTTATTGTCATCCGAGGAGTCATGGATCGATAATTGAATATATGTTAATGTCACTAGTGGTTAGCAAAAACATGAAAGATTTTTCTGATATATATTTCTTTAACTTTAGTTTATCCAAAATTTATTGATTATACGTAATTTCTCAAAGCTAATAGAGATTTTGTAACCTATGCAGGAGTTTCTCAGATTGACGGTGAAACGGAACGGGAAAAGCCAAACGTGAGACAAACACTAGCCGTGGCTTATGATACATTGTTGGCACCAAGAGTCAAGACCTGCATTGAGACGTCACATTCTTCTCAAGAGAACGCGCTTTTTGTGAAAACGCGAGAAAACGCAGGTGGAATAATGTCTGGTCTCACTACATGGTTTAGCCAACTATGCATTCTCCTCCATAGACTTCTCAAAGAACGGCGTCACGAATCTTTCGACGGACTTCGCGTTTTCCAAGTCGTGGCGGCTTCGGTGCTCTGTGGTCTCATGTGGTGGCACTCGGATTACAGAGATGTACACGTAAGTATAAGCATTATTGATCATGTATATCTAACATTATTTGGCTTCATTTTGGCGTTATCCTAATTGTAATGTTTGTTACAGGACCGACTAGGACTACTCTTCTTTATATCAATCTTCTGGGGGGTACTTCCGTCATTTAATGCGGTCTTCACGTTCCCACAAGAACGTGCAATTTTCTCACGGGAACGAGCTTCCGGAATGTACACACTCTCGTCTTACTTCATGGCTCATGTGCTCGGATCACTCTCCATGGAACTTGTTCTCCCGGCGGCATTCTTGACACTAACTTACTGGATGGTCGGTCTACGCCCAGGGCTAGTACCGTACCTCCTCACCCTTTCTATTCTCTTGCTATATGTTTTAGTGTCTCAGGGACTTGGACTTGCCCTGGGCGCAGCGATCATGGACGCTAAGAAAGCGTCCACGATCGTGACCGTGACAATGCTAGCGTTTGTCTTAACGGGTGGTTACTACGTCAACAAAGTGCCATCCGGAATGGTGTGGATGAAATACGTTTCCACAACGTTTTATTGTTACCGTATTTTAATCGCGATTCAATACGGAAATGGGGAGAAGATATTACGGATGTATGGATGTGAATCGAAAGGAGCGGGTGCGGCGGCAGCGACTACGGCTGGGTGCAAGTTTGTGGAGGAGGAAGTGATCGGAGATATTGGGCTATGGACAAGCGTTAGTGCTTTGTTTTTGATGTTTGTTGGGTATAGAGTGCTAGCTTACTTGGCTTTAAGGCGTATTAAACTTTAAAAATAAGGTGAGAGTGGGAGAGAATTAAATAAATAATGAGAGTGGGTAAAAGTTAATTAATTTCTAGGGTTTTTTAATTCGGAACATTAAGCCGTCGTTAGTTGTGTAATTTGCGATTTGGCGACGGGTTAGGGGGCTTAGTTCGTTCGATGGTTCTTTTAACATATGGAATGAAAATGACAAAGTATTATTAGTTGATTTATAATAAAAATGTATATTTCCATCGATTAAATCAGTTTGTGTACTTGTGTGTATATTACAAGATCCATTTAACTGAGCTGATTGATGAGTCCAATTTTGTTTATGACCCATGGGCTAGTTAAAAGCTCAATGTTTCGATGGCTTATACTGTTTTTGGTGGGAGCCCAAAGTATAATTTTCAATAAAAACACCTTATTCAATGTTGTTTTTGTTGTTATCCAACTGAAATTATATTCTATACGTAAATTAAATTTAGTTTCCAACTACACAAAAATTGATATTCATTCACTAGTTTTTTTCTTCAATTAATTAAAATTTATTTTCTTGAGAAATTATCAGAGAGCAATAAATAATAGAAGTAGAAAAATGGTTACACAATCTAGTTATATTTTATCCCTTTAGTTGATTTTATTTAAATTAATGGGTTTTTTATAAGAAATTATACATATAGAAATATATAATTCTGAATTGGCAAAGCCAATAGGACCTCTAATATTTGTATATAAAAATCTAATTAAAGCTATCAACTAAAATAGACTTTTATAAAAAACCATAATTACGGTTTTCCTATAAAAAGTCACAAAAAAAATGCTGGAAACAAAAACCAGAGACATGTAATAAACAGAAATTTGTTGGACTATGGTAAAAAAAAAAAAGGTTAAAACATAAAGGATAGGATTATTTACAGAGCGACAATTTTTCAGCCATCCGATGTTTTAGTTAATCATTTGAAACCGTCCGTTTATAGTCGGTAAAATTCAACATAAAAGGAAACGTTATCGTCACGAAGATTTTCACCTTTCTTGTCTTTACCTTTTTTTATTTATTAAAAGAATCAAAAAAAAATTCTTTAAAAATGAAACCATTTGGAAGCAGAGTCCACCTGAGCCTCTGCATCGTCTTCTTCTCATCGATCCTCGCTTTGATCGTCATGGCTGAATCTACCGGAGCACCAGCACCAACCTCCGAAGCTAAGGTTCACATCATCTACACCGAGAAACCCACCGGTAATGAAGATCCCAGAGCTTACCATCTCCGTACCCTTACCTCCGCTCTCGGCAGGTTCGTAATCAAATTTTTGGTGGATTTTGTTGTTTTTGGATGCGATCGCTTTGATTTAGGGTTTTTGTTCTTGTTTTTTGAAACAGTGAGCAAGCGGCGAAGGATGCTCTAATTTACACTTACAAGGAAGCTGCTACTGGTTTTTCAGCTAGGCTTACACCTGAGCAAGTCGCCGAGATATCGAGTAAGTTTTAGTAGCTTCTCTATTCGATTAAGTGTTTATCCTTTTATCGAATAAGCTCGGAAACAATGAATTATGTTTAGACTGACTGACTTGGCCTATGTTTTGCTTTCTCTTTTATTTTCTCTCATATGTTTTTTTCTGGGATTTGGATGTTGCAGAACAACCAGGTGTGATTCAAGTTGTGCCAAGCCAAACTTATAAGTTGCACAGTGGTCGTGTTGGTGGCTTCAAGTTGCACTAACTTGTTGACTTTGTGTATTCAACTTCTGCTGAACTAAAACCTGTTACTTTTACAGAAACTACCCTCTTGTTGTAATGTTGTGGTTCACCCGGTTTAATGGCACTCAATAATTCAATATATTTCGATAAAAAAAAAGTACTAGTATATCTAACTAAAATAATGTCTTCAAGTTGCTTTTGATTTCGAGTTGTTCATCTTCA